CTGCTGTGCGAAATTGGCTGCCAGGTTTTGTCCACAAAATATACAGTCAATTAACTTTACAGTATACAAAACGCAAAATACTGCAGATGCTGGAATTCTGAAACAAAACTGGAAGTCACTGGGAACACTCAGCAGGTCAGGCAGCATCTATAGAGAAAGGAAAGTGAGCGAATGTTTCGAGTCCATGATCCAAAGCAGTTCTGACGAAGGATCGTCCACCCGAAAAGTTGACTCACTTTCCTTTCTCCGTAGATGCTGCCTGACCTGCTGAGTATTCCCAGCAACTTCTGTCTTTGTTTCACTTTACAGAATATTGTGTGAAGCACTTTGAGATGTCTCAAAGACGAGATAAGGAATTATATCAAATGCAAGGGTTATTATTATATTATAGCATAAGAACATAAGAAATGCTAGACATAAAAAATGACCAAGCTCCATTTAGTTTGCCTTTCATCTTCCCGGCAATGCACATGTCCTGAACTACTTATGCTCTATATCCCATAATGTTATTATTGTTATTTCCTATAAATAACAATCTGTTATTCTAGATTGAAGCCTTTGGAACCTTTCGTTCTGTATTTGATTACATCTTATGATGCATACTTGATGCATGCACAAAGGAAATGGAGGGGAGAGGGGATGAGAAAGGGTGAAAGGCTTATGTGGAATATAAATACTGGCATGGACTGTTTCTGTGCTGCAGAGATCTATATAAATCTACATAATAGAATTTGATGTAATCTCCCTTGCTGCCACCACTTCTCAGAGCATCTTATTCCAGCTCCTTCATAAAGGAGTCGGAGACTTGACTGGGAGTGAAAAGCAACAACGTTTAGCATTTGTACAGTGAAAGCAATACCCCCATACACTTTGAATGGATTTTGAAACTCCCATGAGCCTACAAATCATTCACATTGCCCCAAGCTCCAGAGCACAGTACATTACCCCTGTGACACCATGCCCTTCAGCACTCATGTCCAAACATGATTGAGGATGTGTGTGAGCATGGTGGAAGCTGATTTTTTTAAATTATATGTATATAAAACTTTGAATTTTGCTCGAGAGCCTTTCACGTCGGGAGGACGCCTCAGAGAATATTGCAGGATTTACAGTAAAGTGTAGTGACTATAATTTGTAAGTGAAGGCAGCAGCCAAGTTACATACAGCCATGAAATGAATACCCAAATTCATCCGGGGGATTGTTGGCCAGGACCCTGGGAGATTGTTGGCAAGGACACAAAGAGAATCTCCCTTTTCTTTTCGAATAGAGCCATGGGATCTTTAACCTCTGCCTAAACAGGCATTTGGTTTAACGTCCCATCCGAAGGGCAGCACCTCCGACAATGTAGCACACTCTCAGCACTGCTTTGTAGTGTCATAATAGATTATGTGAACCCACAACCTTCTGACTCAAACAAGTGCTGCCAACTGAGCCAGACTGAACATTCAGTTTTCGCCCTGTGGACTGTCAGAGATGTGAGTTTATACCCCCATTTCCCCAAAGAGATCTGACAACACTGTTTGCACCACGGTGAATGTGGAAGAAGCTTCAGGAACCTTGACTTTTTGTACAGTGCCATGGGATCTTTTATGTCCACCTGAACAAACAGAGAAGACTTCAGTTTAACCTCTCGTCCGAAAGATGGTACCTTTGACAATCCAATATTCCTCCAGGACAATATAAATTGCATGAGGTTGAGGGACAGGAATGGCGTGTTCTGCTGCCTGGCAATGCATTTTAAACCAGATTTTTTGAGGGAAAGAATTGTTTTAAAAACAAAATAATGAATGAGAGTCTAATGACGTAAACTGGGATAAAAATATATTTTTAAATTAACAAAAGTCCACTGGGTTTCAATTATATCTGCATTTTATGTTTTAAGTATATCCTGTAGAAGACTTCTATGGTATTATGTATTTATTGTTAAACAAGCCAAATCTGGTGCCTTGGCTCTTAGCTATACAAATGTAATTTTATTTTTGTTGATGTTAGTTAAATATGTTGAGTTGACTGGAAGCTTAGGGAGAATTCAGGAAAATAATACAGTTGGATAAAAAATCTTGAGAATGAAATGATGCCAGGAGTTTGGGGACTTGCTTGCACCCTGAAGCCCACAAATCAATATTGGTTGCAATACATAAACTTTAATGAGTGTTAACGTTTACAGCACCAAACTGGAAGAGAAGTTCATAGAACACATTCATGCTTTGTGTAACTTCAGAAGCTTCAATGAGATGAAAGCAGTTTTATTATCTTTTTGTTTGGATAATGAAATGTACCATGGAAGTATTCCAACGCTTTGGGATATGCAGTTTATTGGCACTTGCATTCCTCAGTTCCATGCTGAGACTTTGGAGTGTATGAATTACAGCAGCATTTTAAATGGGAAAAAAATTAAAAGTGTCTTGGCTACTTTCAATACAGTTAGGAAGATAGGAATGTTCAAACAACCAAGTCTGTCCTGCCATTTTATGAGATCATGGTACATCTTTTAACCCTAGTTCTCCATGTTTTCTCCATGGGTCTTAATACCCCTATATCCCAAGTATCTATCCACAGTGCAGCCCGGCTCTAACACTTCTTCATAACTTCAATTTGTTTTTTTAAAAGTTATAAATTAGCTGTGCTTCCTACCCCACATCCAGTCCTTGAACAGGACAGCTTTCTTCCACCTCCATCACATTGCACACCTCCGACTATCTCACACCAACGCAGCCGAAATCCTCATCCACGCTTTTGTCACCTCCCGCCTCAACTATTCCAGTGCTTTCTTCACCAGTTTCTCAGCACCACTATCCACAAATTCCAATTAATTCAAAACTCTACCGCCTGTATACTCACCCACTCTAAATTCTATACCCCCATCATACCAGTCCTCGCCAGGCTCCACTGGCTCTCTACCACAGAACAGATCCACTTCAATATCCTCACACACTTCTACAAATCGCTTCATGCCCTAGCACCTCCCTATCTCTCCAACCTGCTTACTCCCCACTCCACCATCTGCCACCTCCGCTCGGCTGTCTCCGGCCTCCTGCTTGTCCCTCACCCCTTCCGCTCCACCAACATCGGCCATGCTTTCAGCCACTGCACCTCCAAACCTTGGAACTCTCCCCCTCAATCCCTTCACTTTGCCTCATCCTGCCCCATTTTCAGATCACGTCAGAAAACCTTCCTCTACAACTGTGCCTATGGCAACTCCCCCTCCCTCCGGCTCCTCCGTCAGGCACCTCTGGGACATGAAGGGCCCTATATAAATGCAACTTGTTGTATAGTGCAATGGCATTTTTAATATCCACCTGAACAGACAGACAAGACCTTGGCTTAACCTCTCATCCAAAAGATGGCATCTCTAACAATCCATCACTTCCCCAGAACCACATTGGGGCATCAGTCTATAAGATCAATGTTCTAACCTGCTGACTAAGAGGGTGCTACCAACTGAGGCAGGCTGACACCTAGCATTGTATTAACAATTCTGACTCTATTCAATTTTGTGAGTGTATGTGTATGCAAGGCAAATTTAAGTGCAAAATCTCTTGGAAATGTAAATGTAAGTTAGAAGAAGTAAACAGGGTAGCATAATGGGATGTTGCTGATAAATCACAAGCAAGATCATAACCCGAAGTAAAAGCAAGCAAGCTGAACCAGCTCTTCAAAATTCATGCTGCAAATAACTAAAGCTTATTAAATATTACTGTGTGTAAAGTACAGCAAAGGATAAGAGAGTGTTACATACACATTCCTTTTTAAAAACCTGCTAAAGATCAGCACCCTTCTTTCACTGTGGGCTTCTCTATGCTTTAAAGAACTTCGCCAACCAAATTTGTGAACTCTTGCAGCCATAGAAACAGAACATAAACAGTTTTGTAAAGAAATGAATCCAAACAAAGCCATTCGGCCCATCTACACACTGTAGATATTTGGGATACAGCGGTATTGCAATGTCCCCCAAACAGCCATGAAGTGAATGACCAATTCCAACAGGGGGATTGTTGGCCAGGACACTGGGAGAAACGCAGACCCAGAAAAGCAGTTGGAAATACATTTTAATAACATTCTTGTCAAAATTGATGAATTATTGTACTTCTGACATTGCACGCAGAGTTTATTGAACCCTTTGGGTTAAAAGGACAGTGTAGCATATTCATGTGATTTGTTTTCCAGTTAAGCATAATAGCTTGGTAAACAGGATGTTGGTGATAAATCACATAAAACGTTATATCAAATGCAAGCATTAGCTTCATTGAAAATTTATAGCACAGAAGTAGAACATTTGACCCATCGAGACTGCACCAGCTCTCAGAACAAGTTATACTTCCAATCCCGTTGCTCGGGCCTATCCCCAAACTCCTTTAAACCTCTAACTTTTATGTAGCTGTCTACTTCCTCTTGAAACCACAATGGACGCTGCCTTTACCACCTTACTTGGCAAGGGCATTCCACATCCCCAAAAATTCTCCCAAGCTCTCTTTTCCCTCTTGTGATTATCTTTAATCTCTGTCTCCTAGGCACTATTATTAGATTATTATTAGCTTCCTCAATGCAGTTAGATTATCTAATTTTTATCCAATATACAGCAGATGTCTCACTCAGATTATTACTGCAATTCTAAAACTCTGGAGTTAGACAGCTGTTTAATGAAGAATGTAATTTAGTGATGAGGGCGATATAATATAGAATTTTTATATTGACTTTAGTACTGCCAGATAAATTGCGGTCTTGTACGTTCCTGTTTCTATATAGAGTCTACCTTACCATGGACTCCACCTGTTCTATCTCTTGAGTATTCAATCTTCAAGGGTGATAAGAACAAAGTCTGAAATATACTCAAGTCCCATTATGTTTCATTGTTTTGTTAAAAAGTAGGTTCGCTTGTAAGAAGTGGATGGCAAAATTTACATGGTTTTGGACAATATGGGATGGTTGTGGATTCCTTAAAACCTGTACATTTTTTTTAAACACAGCCTTTAAGCCTTTTGCTTCTCTCCTCTCTCAGAGTCTCTCCTCTTCAAAAATCCGAGATTGTCGAGATGGTGAAGAAGCACGTCAACGCCATCACTCTTGCCATCGGAGACGGCGCCAACGATGTGGGGATGATTCAGGCAGCACATGTCGGAGTAGGGATCAGCGGCAATGAGGGCATGCAGGCCACCAATTCCTCCGATTACTCCATAGCACAGGTTAGCAGCTTTACAGATAATAATAACACTTGCATTTGCTATAGCGCCTTACCACGTCTCAAAGCACTTCACAGAATATACTGTAAAGTGGATTGACTATGTATTTTGTGGGCAAAATGTGGCAGCCAATTGCGCACAGCAGTGTCCCATAAACGTGGATTGAGTGACCACTTTTTTTTGTGTTTGTTTTGGAGGGTTTATTACCCCCGAAAAGTAATCTGCCAATCAAATAACAAACGGGTTCCTACTTACTGCTAGGTAAACGTAGGCGTGTAGAGAAGAAAACTTGCCTAAGTTTTCCCCCTGCCCGGGAATCGAACCCAGTTCCTCTCACTTGCGTGCCGAGCGTGCTGACCACTATGCTACAGGACTCCACAATAGTCACGCAAGACTTGTCATGAGCCCTTAAGACGTGTCATTAAGACCACAGTGTCCTCTGCACTCATGCAGCCAAAAACTTTCTCTCTGCATGAGAGCAGTTGTTTTCTTTCCAAGCCCTAACAGTTTATTTTGGATGTAAATTATATGGTCACTTGAACCCTGAGTTCTTTGAAGTGCTGCCAGTTTGGACTCTTTGCACAACCACAAGAGACATCTGGATCCAGAAGGTCTCTCAGCCCATTTGAACCCACCCTAACATATTTACTGCACACCATCAAGCCGTTTCTTAAACGCTTCCAGTGTCCTGGCCTCTACCACCGTTCCTGATAATCTGATTTGGCTGTTGATTGTGTCAAGAAATACTTCCTGGTTTCTGTCCTAAACTGACCGTTTACAACCCTGTACTGCTGCACTCTTGTTCTGCTGCCTTGTTTTATCTGGACAATAGTTGTCAAAGTGGGAGAGATAATAATAATAATCCTTGCATTTGATATAGCACCTCATCACATCTTCGAGACTTCTCAAAGCGCTTCACAGAATATACTGTAAAGTGAATTGACTGTATATTTTGTGGCCAAGTACACACATTAGGTACCTGAGGTTTTGTAACTCGCTGAATTAGCAATAGAAAACAAGGAAACTGTGTCTTTGACTACCAATATCCCAGCGAAAGACGTACATCGGAAATGTTCTGATTTTCAACAAATTCTGTTATTTATGAATTTTGGGGTCTGAACTGCAATATTGTCCTTACTTAATCTGACGTTAATTACACCACTATCAATGTTGTCACGCTCAACATAGGAGACAACGCCAATGATTGTGAGTCCAGAAGTGGTGAAAGCTTTGTAAAGTATCTTCTTCATACATACTTCTCTATGCTCTTGTGAGAAGTCCAAACCGGCAGAGGATCCAAACTTCCTGGCTTAACTACCCCAGGAAGTGCTTATTAATACTTTGTGTCTTGCAGCTGGTTTACCTCCAGGTTGCTAACCCAGCTGACCCATCTCCACCAGACCTGCCTGAGATTTAAAACTTGTCAGGAAATTATAATAGATACACCTAATATTTTTAAAAAATCAACAACCTCTCAAAGTGGATTCATGGACAAAATATATGGCTATGGCTCTATTTATGGCTATTGGTTGCAGTACAGCATTCCTCACAACAATAGTAATATAAAGAGACCACCGACAAAATTCCTATTGTTTATACCTTCTTTGTTCACAAAATAAATGTCACAAAGCACCCTTGGTTTAACATGTTTCTCTTCAGTAACACTACATATTGTTTCCAAAGTCAGAAATATAAAATTATCACTAACGCATTCCTATTTATCCAGGATGGTTTGCAATTCCGCCTCGGAATCGTGCCTACAGAGCAGTAAACTTGATGAAACTGTCCTTTTGAAACAAAAATCGCAGAGAATACTTCCTTCGATACATGAGCCTATTAATAGAGGAGGTTTCATTGCCAAGTGCTGTAACACAAAGAGATGAAATAGATTATTAGTTGCAAAAGATGTCAAGACCATAGGTATAAATAAAATATCTGTTCTGCTAGAATACATTTTTTATTCTCATTCCATTATAAATACAGGCTTACAATACTCTGAAAATCCTGAGTCAGAAGGTGGTGGATTGAAACCCCACGTCAGGAATTTTAATTCAAAATCTAGGCTGATATTTCAAAGTAGTGCTGAGTGTATTAATGCATTGTTGGAGGTGCCGTCCTTTGGGGGAAAAGTTACACTGAGGTCCAGTCTGCTTGTTCAGGTGGACATTAAAGATCATGCAGCTCTACTCAAAAAGAGAAAGGATTTTTTTCCAGTTTCTTGGCCAACAATCCCCCAAATAAAATTAGTCATTTGATTCATGGCTATTTGTGGAACATTGCTGTCCGCAATCGAGTTGTTATGTTCACCTACAAATACATAGTCACTCCACTTCAGAGTAAATCCCGTGAAGTGCTTTGGAATGTATTCTTAAATGCATCAATTAATAATAATCTTACATGTTTTAGCATTGTCAATAGTTGTTGCTTGAACCCGTTACTGTGCTTGATATTGTTAGTAACAAGGATTCTTCAGTAATAAATGTATTAGTCATATTAATAACTTTCTTCTTATTCCAGTTTTCATATTTAGAAAACCTTTTGTTAGTCCATGGAGCCTGGAGTTACAACCGAGTGACAAAGTGCATCCTCTATTGTTTTTACAAAAATGTGGTCCTGTACATAATTGAGGTAAGCAGAGAGTTCTGTTGATACTCTTTGGGTTGAATATGGAATATACATTTGCTTGACTTTTACTGCAGTCTGGTAATGGAAGTTACATCAAAGTGAATTTGATAGGAACATAGGAAAACATGGACAGGAGGAGACCAGTCAGTCTTTCAGTTCTTTTCCACCAGTTTATTAGATCTCAGAATCATAAAAATTTACAGCGCAGAAGAAGGCCATTTGACTCATTGAATCTGCAGCTTCTTTAGGAGCAAACTGCATTTTCAGCCCCACTGCCCTGCTCTATCTACATACCTTTTCAAGCCTGTAACCTTCATATACCCATCTTGGTAGATCTTTTATTCTTACGGCCCGCAATACCCCTTTATACCTTTACCACCCAGGTACCTGTCAATCTCTCTTTTAAACATTCCTATTGATTCCACTTCTACGATTTCCTGAGTCAGAAAATAGTGGTTTCGAGCCCCACATCAGGACTCTGAATTCATAGTGTAGGCTGATACTTCAGTCCAGTGCTGAGGATGCCAACGCAATGTTGGAGGTTCCGTCCTTCAAAGATCACATGGCTCTGCTCAAAAAGAGCGTTCCACATTATTACAGCCTTCTATGTGTCACGGTCAAACCATCTTGGCAGATTCTATATCATCAAATCGAATATACCTGAATGTGCAGAAGACAAAACCTCGCCCCAACCTCCAATACATTCAGAGTAGCTTGTATCATATTAACTGGAAGTCGAAATTGCAATTTGTGAGCAGAAAGTCCAGTATGATTCCAGTTTTGTCACATGAAGACCAGCATTGGGGGATCCATCTCCAGCAGATCTGGACACACTCAATGTGACAAGTATCGAATGTACAATCAAATAGGCCTGAGGTCAAAGATATTTGACACCTGTAGCACTATTCAGGAGAAGAAGACGGTTTTTCCTGGTGTCCTGGTCAACAATCCCCCAGATGAAATTGGTCATTCACTTCAAGGCTGTTTGTGGATTATTACCATGTAGAATTAGCTGTTGGGTTCACCCACAAAATACAGATAGTCACTACACTTTATAGGATTTCCTGCGCAGTGCTTTGAGACATCCTCCCAACGTGAAAAGCACTGTACCAAATGTAAGGATTATTATTTAGAACATGAGCTCGTTCATAGTTGAAGAGAACCTTTTATTTTTTTGTTTAGGTCAGGGGAGGGGGGAGGTCAAAATGAGCTTATTCTTAACAGGTTCCTTGTGATAATTAATATAAGAAAGGGCTGTGACAGTTACACCAGAAACGCTTTGTGAAAGGTTACAAATTTCGTTAGAATTTGAAGAAATTAGAAGGTTAGAATTTGAGAGGATGGGAGTGGGGGTATTTTCTCCATCTTGAATGTCAGGTAAATGATGAGATGTAATATATCAGCATGCGGTGTTTACATTGCTCTGGATCTGAAGATTTCTCTTTGCATTATTTAATGTGTGCACATTTACAGATGCATTAAATATTGGTAACAAATGTGACAGCCGTAAGGGATTAATTGTTCTGGCATCGATGTTCAAACCACCCAGACAAAGAGGTATATTGCAGTGTAGTTAATGTCTTTCAAAATAAGCTCCGAGGCAAAATTACATTAATGACAGAAATGAGCAACTGCAATGAAAAATGATTGCAGATGTTTTGCATTTAGACTCAGACACACCGCACAAAGGGTGAGAGTGAGGTTGACTTAATTTGTGTTTGGTTCTAAACAGCAGAGCATGCTGCACAGTCTATTTTGAAACCCTTTTTTATTAATCACTAAACCAATTTAAAGGTTCATAAAGATCAAGAATAAGGGAACACTGGTAAGGTTTTATTTGACAATATTGGAGATCCCTCCACTTGCTGATTTAGGCAACTGATTTGCACAGATTGTGTAGGAATAAAGCGTGGAAATTAGGAAGGGATTGTGAGATATACTCATATTGTTTGATAGAAAACTACTGCATTTAACTAACATTGGGCTAGAACATTTGGAACAGAACTGAGATATATTTTGTAAGGTTAGAGGCATTGTCCTATCCAGTCTGGAGACAGTAACTTGACATAGCTTTTTTTAGCATGGGAGCAAGTTGGTCAGCCGTAGACATGCACAATTAAACCGTATCTCATTATAGCGCATATTGGGATTTTATAGATCCCAACCACTGCATTATAAACGACCCCATTATAAGCCAGAACTATGTGCTAAAACACACATATGCTCTTAAAATGTAAAAGTAACATAACTGCAGGTAGTCATATTTACAGCATAAATTAATATTGGAGTAGAGAGACATCTAGACAGAACCTTTCCTCTTGAGTCAGAATGCTGTGGGTAAACCTAGTTCCCTGTTCACGGAGGACGTTAAAGATTCCATGGCATTGCGGTGGGGGTTGGGGGAGGAGCAGTTTCTCCCAGTACTGTGGCCAGCAATGCCCCAAATGAAATTGGTCTTTCAAATTGTAAAATGTGTAAATTGACTGCCTCGTTTATCTACAAAACACAGTCACTAAACTTTACATTAAATCCTATAAATTGCTTTGAGATGTCCTCCCAGGTTTAAAGTCGCAATTTCAAATGCAAGCATTATTATTATAAGACATTAAATAGAGTTAAGTAATATATGTGCTCGAATAAATTGTACATGGTCTGTGAAAGGACCCAATAGTCTTTTGCTGCTCCATGCTTGTTTAGGTTTATAAGAGAGATTTGAATTAAGTCGTTGGTTCCTTTGCATTTACGAATCACATGTATATCTTCAGAACCAGGTTAAGTTCTAGATCAGATGTAAAGGAAAGGATTCTCGCTATTTGAAGACTTAGTAATGATCCTTGCATTTAATATAGCGCCTTGTCACGTCTTCAAGACGTCTCAAAGCGCTTCAGAATATATTGTAAAGTGAATTGACTGTATATTTTGTGGGCGAAATGCGGCAGCCAATTGCGCACAGCATTGTCCCACAAATTGAGTGACTAATTTTTTTAAGGAATTACTATCCCCGGAAAAGCGATCTGCCAGTCGACCAGCAATCGGATTCCTAGGTTGTTAATCGACCTCTAGGTAAACAGAGGCGTGTGGAGTAAGGAAACTTACCCAATGTTTCGCCCTGCCAGGAATTGAACCCAGGTCTCTCGCTTGCGAGGCAAGTGATCCAACCACTGAGCCGCAGGACTGCCGCTTGGTGAATAAATGCACTGTGCGGTGTGTTACTGAATCACATGAACCTTTCACTTTTGTTTTTTAGCCTATGATAAGTCAATGAGTTGGTCAATGGGCATCAGCTGCAAATGGCTTCAATGTTCACAGACCAGCCAAACCGCTAAGAGAATGTCAACCAGGTTTCCCTCTCTCGAGTGCTAACCAGTGACCCCTGCTGGAGGGTGCACGCATACCCGAGGTGAGGATTGGATCTAACTCAGTGATTGCCCCCCCCCCCCCCATGTTAAAATAGCCTGTCAACACGCATTCTCCAAGCTCACACACAGAAGACAGCAGCTCGGCCAGTGGAACAGTGCTGTAACATGAGCCACTGTAGTAAAGAAACAAAGAAAGTTGGGAGAGAGAAAAAACAACACATAAAGCAAGACTGAGCTCTGATCTCTCACTTTTGGAATCTGGGCAACTGTCTGATGATCTCAATCTGCGGTTATGGTTGGAAATGTTTACAGTTCGGATTTAGAAAACATGTTATCCAAATATTTGTTAGAATGTGGAAAAGCGATTAAACACTGCGCTCTTCAAAGACATCTGCTTTTTTTAAAAAAAAATCTGAACTCAATGCCAGTGATTTCACTTTATGTGTGTCAGCCTGGCTGAGTCGGTAACACTCTCATCTCTGAATCAGAAGCTTGTGGATTCGAGCCCCATGTTGGGAGTTTGGACTCACAGGCTAGCCTGCAGTGTAGTGTTGGGGGGAGCTGTACATTGGTAGATTGGTACATTGGAGTCCTGTAGCTCAGTGGTTAGAGCACTCACCTTGCAAGCGAGACACCTGGGTTCAATTCCAGACAGGGCGAAACCTTGGGCAAGTTTCCTTACTCCACACGTCTAATAATAATCCCTCAAAAAAACAAAACAGTAATAAATTGGTCATTTTCAATCCATGACTGTGTGTGGGACACCTCTGTGCGTGATTGGCTGCAGCGTTTCGCCCACAAATATGCAGTCAATTTACTTTACAGCATACTCTGTGAAGCGCTTTGAGACGTCTAGAAGACATGAAAAGCGCTATATCAAATGCAAGGATTATTATTATTATGGCAGATCTCATCCTCCTGGTGAGATGTTAAATTGAGGTCCGATCTGCCTGTTCAGGCAGACTTTAAAGATCCCATAGTACTATTTGAAAAGATCTGATGACACTATTCAATAAGGGAAGAGTTTCTCCCAGTGTCCTGGTCCACAATCCCGCAGATCAAATTGGTCTTTCACTTAATTGTTGCTCGTGGGATATTTCTGTGCGCAAATCTGTTGCCACGTACAAAATACACAGTCACTACACTTCATAGTAAAATCCTCTAAAACACTTTGAGACGTCTTGATGTGATAAGGCACAATATCAAATTAAAGGATTATTACTGTTGTTATTATTTCTGTACATGTACAGCTATTGGTTTCTTGAAACGTGTGTGAAATACATAAAGATGAAAAGGAGAACATTTATAATCTCTCATAAAAGGAATGGCTGAGTTTCTTGCCTACTGTAGAGCTGTGTTATCCTTTCTGTCGAGGCGCCTTGAATCTTAAATACAGATTTTAAGATTTAGATCATCTCCAGTTAAAGTATTGCAACACACAATCATGCAAATTGTTCTATATCAGAACATATCTGTAATCAGTGGTGTCGCTGTATGTTGTCTGGGATAGTCTAACAACACAACCCTTGAAAATATATTGCACAATCACAGCATAGCTTGGGAAATTTCCCAATAGCCCATATAGTCAGTCCACCGCTGTCCCCACAGGATTTAATGTAAGATATAGTGACTGTGTATTTGTAG